TTTCATCTTAATTAACTGTAGCTATAAACTGGACGCAAAATTATCTTTATTATTTAAATATCTTTGCCCATATTCACATGGTTTTAAATTATTTATTCACGACTAGAAGGAGGTGATGAAAATTTCACAGTTCGAACAAGAAGGGGTGCCAAAACAAATTTTGATGGTTGGTCAGATTTGCGGAACTGGATATGGTTGATAAATCTTCAACAAACACTTGCATATACTTGAGCACTTTCTTAATTTCCGGAGAATATATTTTCCAAAATAATAAACTTCTACTTATTTCTTAAATTATCAATAAGTTTGCTAACATATATTCAATGATACACTGCTTAAAGTAGTTCTTTTACAAAATGTCACACAATTCAAGGCTCGAGAGCCAATCAAGGTAGAGGCTCGAAATGGCAATGATGAATGAGATGTGTGATATGAATTGAAGATGGCAGAAAATGAGGATTGAAAACCATTGGAAAACGATTGGCCCTTGACTGTTAGTGACCAGGATGGAGGTATTCAGACAAATGCATTGTTCTAGAAGTTCGGATTTTTTTTGCGGGGGTGGGATAGGTAAATCATTTTTCTTACATTACGAACGCCGAGGAAATAAGGGTGATTAGACTCAGTGAATGTAACATGAGAGACTGTTCAAGAAAAAAAATGCCTCAATGAAGCTTTACATCTGAAATACAGAAGATGATAGGGTAGATGAATCCTGCGAAAGTATCATGGAGTGCCTTAGTTTCAAACATCTAAACTGGGTAATCTTATTAATAGAACTCGTATGAAAATAGAGATATAGTTACGATAGGATGACAAATTCAGGTCTTTAAAAAAGAGGTTGTCGTTGGAAAATATGTTTTCCCTAACAAAACTGTGTAAAATTATTTTAAACCCTGTTAAAGGCTGGACAGTTAGGATTGAGAAGCTCCAGCAAATGTATGGCATCAATAATTCATTTTAATCTAATCTAAATCTTGCAATGAAAATGTATGGCAGTAGGGGTCAGTTATTTTATACAGCGCTAGAATGCGACAAGATATCTTTATGCTGAACTTGAATATGCTACTATTAAAATAGAATCCTGTTTATAATTTCCTAAACTCATCACATTTTTTATGTGGCTTTCTCTTTCGATCTTCCAGAATATGTTGTTTAATCATTTGATTAAACGTATCGTGACGTCACACACTCAAATTCAAATACAATGAAAAATCAAGACAAGAGGAAATAAAAAAGCTATCAACATCTATTTGGAAACGCAAATATAGTAGAATAATCCAGAACTTATAGTGAGAGAAAACCCTGTTTAAACGAATAGAAAATGAAGTGAGTAGTTACACAAAAAGAGAAAGCGGTGTGACACGATAATTTGTATTACGTAAAGATTAATTCGACTACTCTATTCGAACTGTTGAGATGACAGGTCGGGAAAAAAGTATATATCCTTCTAGACAGGGTAATAGAAGAAAGCGAGAAATACAAACAAATGATCAAGAAGACAACGACTTGGTAATCAGAAAGATAAAAACCCAAGGTTGCGATTTACAAAATGAGGTATCAATATCAAACAGGTACAGAAGGATAGAAAAGTCAACACCAAGATCGCATTGGACTAGCGAAAGAAGCATTCCATAAGAAAACAAAATGCCGAGAAACGGATAGAATTTCATTAGGAACGTTATCTTTCGTCATATATGGCACTGAATGCTCGACAATGAATGAGGAAAAACTATACCTTTTCAACTTCAAAATGATAATAATCAAATTCAAAATGGACTTATTTTCAAGTAAAAAATTAATCAATTTCAAAATGGATTAATCAACATCAAATTGGCTCAATCAATTTCAAAATGGAACAATCAACTTTAAAATGAATTAATCAACTTCAAAATGGAACAATCAACTTCAAAATAGATTAATCAACTTCAAAATGGAACAATCAACTCCAAAATGGAACAATCAACTTCAAAATGGATTAATCAACTTCAAATTGGATCAGTAAACTTCAAAATGGATTAATCAACTTCAAATTGATAAAATGTCAAAAACCTAAAAACAATCAACTTCAAAATAAGAATAAACAACTTCAAATTGGAATAAACAACTTCAAATTGAGATTTTTTTTTTTGGTAAATTGAAAATTATTTTTTGAATTAATTTACCCCATGAGTAAGGAAATTGACTGTTCGTCTTCATTATATAGATGAAGAAAAAACAAAATACAAACAACTTAGAGGCCAAGAAAGCACTGGTGAGCCTACAGTAGGAGGAAAAAGTCTCGTATGGGCAAAAATGATGATTGATGATGATGCTGGAGAAACCTCTACAAAAGAAGCTGAAGAAGAATTAGCAACGGCTCCAAAGAGGACTTACCCAAAAAACTGTGGCTGGCGAAAAAAAGGCCCAGATTTTAGCTGCACATGCCGCAGCAGGAAATTGGAAAGACCTGGCAAGAACAATTGGTGTGCCTCTGCCAACAGCGTGCCGTTGGTTAGACCAGGGTGCTGATAAAAGTGGCTCTAGGGGTGGAGCAAGAAAATATAAAATTACGCAAGAGCCTAATAATTTTATGGCCGAATTAATTGAAAACTCTCCTAGGGTCACTCTTCAAGACATAGTAAATAAGTTGGTCGAAAATTATGAGGTTCGTATGACGAAAGAATGCATAAGAAAGCACTTGAACTCCATAGTCTTTAATTTAAAAGCAGTTCATTATGAACCAGTAGCTTTCAATAATAATGTCAATAAGGCGAAACGTTAGTAGCTTTATTAGAATTTCAGTCTCAAAGTGTACCAATTCTTTATATGAATGAAACCAATTTTAATTTCCATATTTCAAGAAGAGACGGTCGCTCTTAAACAGGCACGAGGTGCACTACAGTCGCGTCCGGATCCAGGGGAAATAACATCCATGTTATTGGATGTATTAGTAATAATGGATTAATTCATCATAAAATTAAAAGAGGTTCTTTCAAAAAAGAGGATGCGAAAGAATGGACCAGGGAGTGCCTTAGAAAGGCAAATGAAATTTATGAAAGGGGAGTTGTCTTAGTTATTGATAACGCTCCTTACCATACTTCAATTGAAGAAGTTGTGGAGGAGGATGAATTTAGGCAACACCAAATTTTCAGACTTGCCCCCTATAGTCCGATGTTAAATCCCATTGAAAAGGTTTGGTCAGTCATTAAAGCTGACGTAAAATAAGTATGGCAGACTCAATGGTTGGGATTTTAAGAGGTGATGGCCAGGGATCTTTAACTACTAAAGAATTCCGCCTCAGCAAGTTAGAAGCGATGATCTCCGAGGCAATTAATAATATTTCCCTTGACACTTACAGCAACTTCGTATCTGGAATACAGAGATTACTTCCCTCTGTAATTAAGTTAGATGGTGTAATCTTTTAAATAAATTTCTTAGGAACGTTTATATTTTTCATATCCCTTTTAAGTAAAAATAAAAGAATAAATTTATTAGTATTATATTAATTCTCAATTTGAAGTTGATTAATCCAATTTGAAGTTGATTATTTCTCATTTTGAAGTTGTTTCCAATTTGAAGTTGATTAATCCATTTTGAAGGTGGTTGATCCATTTTGAAGTTGAATAATCCATTTTGGAGTTGATTAATTTTTTTTACCTGAAAATAAGTCCATTTTGAAGTTGATTATTATCATTTTGAAGTTGAAAAGTTATAGAAGTAGTAGAAATCCAGAAGGATTCTTGAAATTCCATGACAAGACGAATAAGTGTTAAAAGAAAATTGAAACATAAAGAACACTTCTACTCCTTGGTAATATAACGAGAAAAGAAGTCCTGGACAACGTACCCCCGAGAGGGCATATTGAGGGCAAAAGCAGCCAGCCACTGACGTGCTTCTGTGATGAACGGCAGAATCGGTCAGCTGACGAAAACCTTAGCAAAAGATGAAAAACAACTTATATCCAGAAGGAGTGGACGTTGTGCAGAACTTTGATCGCCTTTGTACTGAAAGTGCACGTCACAGAGAAGAAAAATATTTCCGCTTTTAAGGATAAAAAGACAGACGGTTCGCGGACATATAAAAAGAATGATGAATTGCGAAGAACCGACTTTATCTCAACATTCCCGAATTGCATTCATGCTCTCCACAGTGATTCACGTGATCAATTTTCAGAAACATACATTCACCGACAGATTGTCAATATAACACGAAGTGCACTTTTTTGATCGTGCTCAGTTTTGTTGTTACTCATGAGAGAAACAATTTACCTTTAAAATCTCCAACTGAATGATTTAAATAAATATAATCTTCTGCCTCAAAGGCCTTGGTTTCATTACGTGTAATATCTGGCTCCAATCTTTTTTAGAACAAAATGCGACCAGATGTGATATAACCTAGCCAATATGCTAAAATTTCAAAAACCTTTGCTCAAGTTACTTTTAAATTTACTTTATGAATGTTACCTTAAAACCGGATGCAAAAATTTCGGAAGAAATTAGCTTACAAAGATAAATCTCATTTCGTTATAGTAAAATTTAGCCATAATGGAATCTTCTTCACTTCAGCAAATAACCAGATATTCTATTCTGTTAGTTTACATTGAATATTGCTGTTGCATCTGGTCTGATTAATCTGCTATGTATTTAGAAATGATTGATAGATTAGAGAGAAGACTCTTCGATATTACTTGTTCAGACCTGTCACTATTCCAACATCGTAACATAGCTTTCGTATGCCTTTTGTACAAATATTTTAAATGGTTGATTGATAGATTTCTATGGCTAAGGTTTTATGAAGCCAGAAACTATTTTTTTTAAATTGTAAGACATTTTTGAGATAATGATTTAGTGATACAAGCCTTACCAATTTAATTATAACTGGGAGATCAGAGGTAAATTCATAACTTTTCCATGTGTATTTGTACGTAAATGAATACAACGAACCCAACTTGAATTGGAACTCGGCTTTCCAATTAAAAAACCCGAGCCATTATCAATTACACCACACGAACATCCAAGCTTACATCACTTTTTATTCCCAAGCGGTCACCCATCAACAGGCTCGACATTGCTTAACTTCAGTGATCGTACGAGAACCGGTGTTTCAACTTGATGTGTCCAAAAGTCCAAATATTTTCAGGGTAATTGTTCTGTTGAGTTTTCCTCATTGGTATCTAGACTTTATGAATTTAAGCGCATTACCAGATTGGAGGAAAGGTTTCATGATTTTACGGTTGAAATGACAAGATGTAACCGTAAGTTCTATGCTGACAGTGCCTTTTATCGTACATTGATTATAAAACTCAATTCCAGCTTCTTATTTTCCAGACAATTTCGATCTTCACAATCAATCACTATGTTCTATCTTCATAATTCCTTTTCTTTTATTGTTATCTCTTCTTAATGGTTTTTTTTTTTCGTATTCTCTCACACTCAGTAATTCCTTGCGTCTTAGAGAATTTATTGTCTTGCTTCAAGTGAAATAATTAAAAAAGTTTATAGACATACGGTAAGCTTTTTACGGGTTCAAAAGTGTCGATTCCTCCGTAGGCTTTTGGAGTGGGAATGTTGGACAATTCCATTCTATCAATCATTGATGGAGCACTTAATAACGCAGTCCGACGTAATCTGCTATTTATTCTTGTCTTTTCAATTTTATGTAAACGGAACACTTTCATCCTTTAGGCAGTTTTTTTTTCCTGTGAGAGCGATCAGTAATTCTCCCGAAAAGGAATTTAGCCGAAGGAATCCATGATCAAAATAATGTATCTTTTTTATTTCCCTCGTCAATTACTTTTCTTAATGTTGTTCACTCTATATCTAGTTTTCTTTCTCCATTAACAAGTCCAGTGCATCGAAAATTGTCACTATTGCGTCTTACATTTGTTCTTGCCGTCAAATTTTCAATATATTTCCCAGAATCTGATATACAATGATAAATAAGAGGCTACAGTGCTCTGAATAATACACATACACACATATACATACACATGTGTAACAATTCTAGAAATATACTATATATCCGAGAGCTTTCCGTTATTCAGTTAGAATATGATGGATATTTTTATTTTTTATTTTATTGAATGTGTAGATGTTTATATATGTTTCTAGAGGGATTGAAATATTTTGTATTTTCCAAACACGGTCAGCGCATTTTGGTCGTGTTCATAGCTGATGTTCTTGAGTTTTATTATTAGTGTTTCCATTATTTTAGTCTTTTGTACGTGTGGATGAAGTTGTTATGCTTGTATTTTCTACGATTGTGTTGCGTATGGAGTTTAATAGATTTCCCGCGTGTTTAAATTAGTACTAATTGAGCTCAGAAAAGAAAATACGTATATGAACACAAGAAAAATTAAACAAAACTTAATTCCAGTATCTGGTATTTAATGAAACTTATATAACAGAGGAAATGCTAGAACAAACATAATATTATATATATATATATATATATATATATATATATATATATATATATATATATTCAGTTGTATGATATGAGTTGGTGACCCTGGTTTTCACACGTTTGCGATCATCAGACATCCTTAAAGATGAGGAAGAGGCTCAAAGTGAGAGAAATGTTGTTCTAAAGACGAATGCAGAAAATAGTGTTACAGAATGCAAATGAATTGTCTTTTAGCAATGTATTGAATACAAGACGAAAACGTAGCGAAGAGAGTGGTCGATACATTCCTCGCACTCAGATTTCTTAGAGAGCCAAACCGTACGTAGCAAAATCGTAAGCCCTGTGTGCTCTGGGTCCCCCTCTTCCTCTCGCTAACCACTAGAATTGATACGACACACGCCTGTCTCTCTCGTATAATAAAGGGAGTCTTTTGATCCTGTATATGATATGTCGTTGGAGGTCGGAATAACTGAAGCCAGTGGCGACACGGAACGAAACAGTAAGTAATACTAGACCAACATGGTAAACCTAAAGGAAATAGGAATTAAAAAATAAACACTTAGAAATAGTCGGAATTTATGGAACCTATTACAAAGAAAGAACGTCTGAAAAATAAAAGACTCACAAGGACACATGGCTCAATGGATACAAGCGTTAGTTGGATCCACTGACTTGACACAAAGAGATGTGAGTTCAGCGCCTGGCTACTGCAGTGTAAAAACAAAAACTTGGACAGTTGAGTTAAAGGGAGATAACGGAGACATACGAAAGTGACGTAGCACGTGGAACTAGAATACTCTAGGAAATAAAATGTTTAGTCGTAATTCCAGTCCTCTGAAGAAGTCCGGAGCATGCAACGGCCGAATCTTCATGAATATAGCAATAAAGATAAAAACAACAGTACGACCAATGATACTGGATATACGGAAGGAATGGCAGAATAGATTGTAGCCTATCTAATGCGTTTGAATGATTGTGAGAGTAAGAAATAAGAAGGATTGAATCGAACGTTGGTTAGGTAGAGGAAACTGAAGGGAGCCATGATCGTACACATCCTGAAGGGACAAGGTATAGAAAAGAAGATGCCTGTAAGTAGACCCCAAATATAGGTTAAATATCACTGTAGACTTCTAGCATTGGCTGTAATCAGTGTAGGAGGAAATCTACGCTGATTTTAAATCGTTACGAAATCATAGTAATTCACAGATAATGAAAAGGAAGGTGTGGAGAGCCATGATTAGCTAGGTGCTGAATAGAAATTCTTTCCTTTATGAGTCTAAACAGTATATTATATCAAATTCATTTTTAATAAGTTGTCTTTTTTCGTTATTTTCCTTTGTTTATGTAATCATTACGTTTCGCTTACATTTACAACCTGTTATCTACTGAAAATTGAAAGTATTCCCTATTCTTGAGCCACAGTATTCGTTTTTCTTGTATTTTCCTTTCGTAATACGAAGGTATTTTAAGCTGTCATTTCGGACGTAATAAGCAAACAATAGACCACCATAGAGAAATATTTCATATTCAATCTACCGTATATACTCGTGATTAAGACTCTGTCATGGATAAGGAGCAACCTGTAAGTTCTTTTGTAAAAAGCCTGTTCGTGTTTCATGCGACCCTGAATTCTGGGTAATGAAGTAGGCTTACTGTGGTCAAATATTGCAGTAATGGGCCTCATCCTGGACATATTTGATAGCAAATAAATGTCTTCATTCTTTTTTATACAAAGCTACACCAAAATGGTGAAATAAAAAAAACACTTACCATAAAATATCTGATACAAAGATTGAGATATCGTACTTTTGTTTGCGTTCATCCCTGACTGCAGTAGCTACTTTACCCACAGCCTGCCTCCGACGTAAGTTTTTTTCCTCTTGTCACTACACAAAGTAGAAAACACTCATCCCCTGTGTATGCCGCTTAAAATCAACAAATACCTTATATAAATGAAGATTTAATAGATTTTGGGAATCAAAAATTTGCATTCATCTGCGTTTCGGAAATGTTTGCATATCTCGCAAGTGATTACATATAAAACAAAAGTTGATATTTCAATGCCATTCTTTTTGTTAGAATTGCCGGTACATAATGCAGGTTGTTTCCCACGAGTTGAGGTACATACTTCAGGTTATTATAATTCAAGTTATTCTAAGTAAGAATGACTCCATATACGTACTTGTTTTTTTCTTCTTTATTTTTGATAGTAGCTGAGTTTGATTAAATGTGTGAATTTTAAACTCTCCAGAAAAAATACCCGTGTATAATGTAACCGGCCAGCAAAAATGCATGATTTTTTACCACTTTAACAACAAAATTACCTGTGTATAGTGCAACACCATATATTTTGCGTAAAAATAATATATACGAAAAAGCCGCTCTATACTTGAGTATATACGGTTTGCTCTAGTATTTTTTTACAAGAAGCTACATTATCGTTTTATTTATAGTGTAGTTTCCAAAAGATGGTATGATAGTCATTATGATAAATGCAGTCTATAGTACGTTTTCTGTTTGTTATGGGACCTTACCCATAATAACATAATAGACTATTTCATACGTAATAAATACTGCGCCTCAAGAGGAAGCAGGGAGTTTAGTCCGAAGTCGGGCGACCGGCTGACCGGCTTATGGGTGGGTTGAACTCTTTGCCTTCTGGCGGGGAGGAACCTGAAGGAGGCTACGGGCGGATTCTCTTTCAGGGAGGTAAACTGACCCTGAACCCGTTTATACGGGTTCAATAGGCATATTTTTGGCCGAAGCCACGGGCTCGGAAATCCCACGTTAAATCGGCCTTGTGCCACATGACGCCCTTGTGGGGGGGGGGGGTGACTGAATATCGTTCTGTCCGAAGTCGGGCGACCGGCTGATGGGTTGAACTCTCTGCCTTCGGGCGGGGAGGAACCCGAACGAGGCTACGCCGAAGGGCGGAGTCTCTTTCGGGGAAGTAAACCGACCTTGAATCCGTTTATACGGGTTCAATGGGCATGTTTTTCGCCGATCCAACGGGCTCGAACATCCCACGTTAAACCGGCGTTGTGCTACATGAATCCCTCGTGGGGGGTGACTAAATACCATTCAGTCTGAAGTCGGACGACCGGCTGACTGGCTGATCGGTTGAACTCTCTGCCTCGGGCGTGCAGGAACCTGAACGAGGCTACGCCGAAGGGTGGAGTCTCTTTCGGGGAGGTAAACCAACCCTGAACCCGTTTATACGGGTTCAATGGGCATATTTTTGGCCGAGCCCACGGGCTCGGAGATCCCACGTTTAACCAGCCTTGTGCCACATGATGCCCTCGTGGGGCGGGGTGTCTAAATACTGTTCCGTCTGAAGTCTGGAGTGAAGTCCGTCAGGAGTTTGTCAGTCAGTCAGAGCGAGCGAGTCAGTCAGTCGAGTCAGAGGCAGTCCGAAACAGAGTCGCGTTCAGACAATTACTACTAAACCTGATTGTTCGTACTAACACTTTCTACTTCTCTGTATATATTCCTGTTTATAATATATCTGTGTTATTCCATATCCGTGTTCGAGTTCTTCTTTATTTGTTCTACCTTGGACTATCACCGTGGTACAATGAACCGGACCATAACACTGTTTAAAGAATTTCCTGATACTTCCTCTGGTAGTGTTCCACTTTGGTACCTCGGCTACACGAACTTAATTCATTTTCTACAGGATGACTGAAAAGAAACAGCATATTTTT